TCTTTCGTCTTCCCGTGTACGGACGATGTCTTCCTCTCCCTTCATCACGCACGACCCTCTTTGCCGTTCTTGTTTGTTGGGGTCTGTCTCTCCGCTGCCTCCTCCTCTACCAGGCATCCGGCGATCTCACCAAGCTGCGGTTATGGGAGCAAATGCAGGTTTTAGGGGCGGCGAGTCAGGACAGGGGGAGCTACCTCGCCATCTTCAAGGCAAGTCCTGTCGCGTGCCCCCCCCCCCTCCTCCGATCCTGCTAGTTGTGGTCCACTTCTTACCCTTCACCGTGTCAACGCGTTGTGTATGTTAAATCACCCAGCGGTTTTGTTTCAATGTCGCTCTCGTTTTTTTTTGTCGAGAGGCAGAGTGTTGCACTTCCCAGCTTAAGCTGCGTGTGCAGCACAACAGCGCGGCGTATCACTTGCCAGTATCACCTTTCTCGAGCATTCACCCTGCACTCAGCACGAGTAACCCGTTTTCATGCCCATGTAGATCGTTTCGTCGTCTTTTTTTTTTTGTGGCGTTTTTAGAACGGAATTTTTTGTTGTAGACCTGTTTTCTTCTCTTCTTCATCGGATAATAGTTGGCGTGTTAGAACGATGTTGCATGTTCACACATTATTTTTCTTTTCTTGTGTTGTTTTGTTGTTTTGATGCGCTTTTAGAACGATCTTGGTCACCTGTTTTTCTTATTTTTGGCCCGGTTGGTGGGCGGTGTGTTGGAACTATGTTTCTTTTTCTCATGTTCGTTTTTTTTTTTTTTTCTCTTCGTTGGCGTTTTTAGAATGGGGAGGACGTGCGGCAGGACCAGCTGGCGGTGCACATGGTGTCTCTCATGGACAGGCAGCTTAAGGAGGCCGGCCTCGACCTCAAGCTCAAGGTATGTGTGTATATGTACATATCCATGATAACAAGCGTCCGTTGATGTGTCGTGTGTGTAGAATGCGAAGAAGAATCTACTATTGGTGCCTTGGGCTGAAGGTATGCATGCGCAACAGCATCTGTTGTTGTCGGGAGCCTACATACACAGGATCTGTTGTGGGGAGCTCAAGACATGTAGACTATGCGAGGAAGCATCTGTTTGTGGGTCTATCCTCAGTCGCTCGCCTGCGTTCTTTCGTTAACATCTAGATGTTCGAGCACTATTTAGTCTTGCGCTTTCCCTATTCGTTTGTGCGTGGGCTTGTCCTTGATTTTAGCTGTGGTGGCATGGACCTGTTCCTTTGTTTGTTGCTGGCTTGCCGTCATGTTCCTCATGATCCCAAAGCTATTTACACGTCTGTTCCCCTCGCCTGACCGTGCCGTGATCTACGATACCCCCAACTCCGCCGGCAGTCTTACCGCGTGCTGGCGACAAGCTTGACAACCGGGATGATCGAGTTCGTCCCTGGCTCGGTTCCCATGTCCGCCGTGCTCGCGACGCACAACAACAGGTGTGGTTTTACCCTCCCTCCCGCCCTGGTCAAAGGTCGAATGATTACGGCTATGAGTACACCCCCCCCCCCCCGT